AGCAAGCGGGAGGGGCGGCCCTGGGGTCGCTCTGTACAAGTCCGGGTTGATGATGGCCCCGGCAGTCCCCACGGGGCCCCGGGGGGGCGCACAAGGTGGACGGATGCCCCTAGATGAAATATTCCTTCTTGTCATCCCCGCCTGACTGCCCGCCTTCTGCGTTGATGATAGCTGTGTCAGCATCCGGGGCATCATCGGAGCCTTTCGCCTCGTGTGTCAGGTAGGTGCCTGTGTGGAGACAGAGGCTCCACCTTTTAGGAGCGGCTTCTAAACCTCTGAGGGCCACCTTGCCCACTTCCCCACACACCCACGCACTGCTCACGCATTCTAGTCTTGCCAGGAGCTCTCTTCCATCCCATCTTGCCTAATTTGCACTCCGTGGCCAACATTCCTCACCTGACCATACCCCCATGAATAATGGATCCTGCCATCAAGAATTAGAATCTCATCTGTAACACAGGTGAGGAAAAAGGTGCGTGTGCGTGTGTGTGTGCGTGCCTGTGTGTGTGCGCGCATGTGTGTGTGTGTGTTCGTGCAAGTCGGTGACGGGGAAACTGTGATGTCAGCCCCCTCAGCAATGCAGTTGATATCTGGCTCCTGTATGACCAACCCCTGCATCTGGGCTGCTGGCTGGGAGTAATAACAGAGCAGAAAGTCAGAGAGGAAGGAATAAGGGGGTGACATAGATATAAGGAGGGAGGTAAAAGAGAAGAAGAGAGAAAAGAAAAGAGATAGAGTGGGGAAAGGGAGTAAGATCAAGGAAGGGAAGGGGCTCAATAGACACCGAGAGACCATACAGGAAATAATGGGCTGGAGATGGATTCCAAAGCGTTTGGTCTCACAGCAGAGACCCTGGAGGCAGAGCAGCAGGAGCAGCTGACTGAGTGGGAAGGTTGGATTTCACTTGGGTGATCACCAAGTGATCAGGCTTTGCTGCAGGGTTGGTGGCGCTCAGTTATCACACGGGGTTGGCACTAGAGGGGCTGGCTGGAGTTTTTCTCTCTCAGACACTCCACGGGGCTGTCTCCAGACGGCCTTCCTGCAGCCTTCTTCCTCCTGCCTGTCCCAGCTGGTCTTCCCCACCCCACCCAGACCCTCCGGATGCCTCTGACCTTTGTGCCGGATCAAATAGTGTCCCAGGAAGATGAGCAGGATGAGCAGGAGGAAGACGATGAACGCCACGATCCCGCCAATTATGGCATGGTAGGTGCTGGAGGATGAGGGCACCGGACTGGGGTCTGCAGGGAGGAGGATGCACAGAGTCAGATCTGGAGAGAACCCTTGTCTCAGCACTCTGGCTTGGCCCCAGACAGTCTCACAGAGCACAGCGTGGCCACAGCCATGGGGAAAATGGAGTGGCTACATTCAGCAAGGGGGCAGGCCTTAGCTTGTGCTTGTTTGTCACCCCAGGCCTGGAAGGTAGTAATTATTAAACAAATTGATCTGCTCATGAATAAATAAATAAATAAATAAATAATGAATCCTCTCCTACTTGACCATGGAAGTTGAGTCCTAGGCATTGTAGCTCGACCTTGATCACAGATTATTACTTTACTACTCCTTCCCAATCCCTCTCCCCATCTCTCAGTTGTACTCTATTAGAGTCTTCTTTCCCCATCTTTCATGTTCTCTTACCCACCAGTCTGCTTGGTATTCTGAGGTAGTTCTTCTAGGGAGCATCTCAGCCCCTTTACTCATTGGCTTGAGATCAGATAGGGAACAAAAAGCTGATGGAGCCAAGAATTGAGCACTTGGACAGCATGGAGCATCTTGCAAAAAAAAAAAAAAAAAAAAAAAAAAGATAGATCTTGTGACCCTGTATGTTCCTTCTTTGCAGTAATACCCCAAACCTCTGTCCTGGCTCAATGAGGAGGCCTGGAATTCCATCTTCACTTTGTCAGCATTTGAAGGTTTACAGGCAAGGACTGAATTGCTTTCTCCCAGGATGGTGGTATCTCTGCCATTGATTTTACGGAATCTATCCTCTCCGTAGCAGTAGAGCAACATAGACTGTGGGCCAGGTGAAGCAAGGACAGCCTAGCCATCCTCAGGATCCAAGCGCCCGAAACAGGTCCACAGGACACCATCCTGAAGAATCCAGCATTACGTTAGCCACAGCTACGACTCTCCCACCCATGGGAGAGCTGCTGTTTTTCCTTGGGCTCAGCTGGAGTCTTGATGCCTCATTGGCTCCTTCTTTGTTTTTTTCTTTCCCACCTTATGTCTTCTCAGGCTTGACTGGGCCAGCTTTTTAGTTCCTTGCCTGTCTATGCCTTATTTGAAAAGAAAACATTTGTGCTTTGGATTTTTTTATGCTCTGCCTGGGAGGGAGAAGAGGATGAGCCTAGGTCTTCCACGAGATTCCGGGGTACGTGTGATGGTATAATTTGGAGGAAGTCAAGTGGGAGGAGTTTTCCCTCCGTTTCTCTCCCTCGGAGTATAGGAGAGGTGGTGCGAACAGAAAGTTAATCCCCTAGATGATCATGTAAATGGAGATTCCTTAGAAAAGCACAGTTTTCCACTGCCAAAATGACCTCTGTAGTCATCTGTTACAAGGCTGCCTCTCTAGGTTAATTTGATTTCATTCTGGGCAGGTTTTCAGACTGACTGCTCTTGGAAGGAGATGTACGAACTCTTTCCACCACTAGGCGTCAGCACTGGCAGCAGACGCAGTCAAACGGCGTCCTGGATTTGGCTTTCGCAGCACAGGGCAGAGGGGAAGATGAGCACCAGGATAACAACTGGAAGGAGGCCCAAGAAACTTTCTCTCACTGCCAATCGTCAGCAGAGTTGGTCTGGAGAGATCTGGGGGCAGAGTCCGGCCCTCAGTGCTTTGTCCTTGCTCCTGGCATCTTACAATAGCCTTGCTTGTTATACTGAGCCTGGGCCCTGGAGTGGGAATCACTAATCCAGACATTCTGGTCCCAAGAACTCAGGCCTCGTGTCCCTGGGGAGGCCCGGCTGTGGTCCCCCAACCTCCTACTACTTTAATGGGCACTTCAAGTCAGAGAACCTCTGAAGTTTCTGCAACACTTTACTTCCTCTAGGCTCCAGAAAGGTTTGTAAGACTTTCTAGCAGGACACCACAGTCACCAGGATCATATATCCCTTGCCGATTTGCCATAAAGAACCCTCTGTGTGAGCCTGTCACTCCTCCTAAAGCTGAGTTTCATTGTCCTAGGTTTGAGAAGGGCTTGAGAGTAGGAGTCCCCTGGTTCCTCTGGAAGATGGCTTCTAAGTAAGGAACTGACTATCTCTCAGCCTAGTTCAAGCTTTCTTTCCACCTGGACACAGTATTGTATTTCCAAGGTCTTCAGAAAAAGGCAGCAGCAGCTTCAGAAAAGGACAGCTTCAGAAAAAGACATGCAGCCCATACATGGTTCTAGGAAGAGAGCTAGGAGAAGAGCATATCGGCCCAGGTCCACATGCACTGGACAGACTCTGGAACCTCAAAATGCAGAATTATTATTCTTGTTGTCAAGTGAGTGCAGGGATGGAAGATGGTGCCAAGAGAGCCACTGATCCTAAACAAAGGCATATGAGAGCTCTCCCTACTGTTGATCTCTCACTAGGACACATTCCTGGGTGGGCCTGGAGCCTAAGGCCCCAGGGCCCTCCCTGGTGGCTGTTTTCTTTTTGCTCCACTCCCAGTCATGCTGAGAAGCCGTCAGGAGGTGGGAGAGTGACAGTGAGGAATGGACAGAGAAGGCGGAGAGGGCTCACCGTTCACATTGAGAGTGAAGTAGGCCGTGTAGCTGCCCATGTTGCTGGTAGCTGTGCAGCCGTAGGTGCCGCTGTCACTCTTGTTGAGGAAGGGGAAGATGAGGGCACTGTCCTGGGTCATCTTCAGGGGTGGCTCACTGCCTTCCTTCACCCACAGGTACTGCTGGGGCCTGTTAGGTAGAAAAATCAGCAGTGTTCAGGAGAGCACAGGCCAGCGAACTAAAGGGAGAAAAAACTGGGAGCAGGGAAATCACAACCTATTTGATGAGGCTCAGGAAGTTGCAGAGGCCAAAGCCATTCAGCCTTGCAGAGGTAGAGGAAGGGTGGCCTCTGGGGTTCCTTCCAGAGATGGTGGCAATTTCCTAACATATCTTTCTCACTGTAGCTTAGCTTAGGGGGTGCCACCCATCTGCTAATTTGAAGAAGAGCAAACAAAGCATAGACATGGTTGGAGAGAGTGGTGGGGGGTGGGAGGCTCAGCTCTGGCTGTGCAGAGGCAGTGGGAAGGAGATGCTCAGGGAAGATGAACATCTAGGGGTAGGGAAGTGTCTGAGATGGGAGCATGCAGATCTTCTTACACTGGATTGCCGCGGCCCTCACAGTGTAGCAATAGCTTCTGGCCTTCTCGGGGATGTGGCGGGTCCGGCCTAATCATTGCAGTCGGTGTGTCTGTGGAGAAGGGAATGCTGTGAACACACAACTCGCCACGCTGCTTAGGAGATCCCTAAAATCTCGAAATTGCTGAGTTACACACCATAGCTTCTGTCTTAAGTGTCTCGGGAGCCCAAGAGCAACACAGACCTTCCTCTCCACAGCTCTTGAGAGCAGACAGCATTTGCTATGAAACATGGGAGCAACTCGTATTGCAACCTCTTCGGGACAGGGTTCTGGAAGACCTGTCCTTGGTGGAGCCTGTAGATGCCTTCACAGAGCTAAGAAGGGGAACGAGCAGTTCATCTGTGTCTACCAAACTGCCTGGCCCAGAAACAGGCCCTAACATATAATCTCAAAACAAAGGAGCCTGGACTTGACACTTAACTGAGTTCGCAACCCCTCGGTTCTGTCTGCTGTGCCAGGGAGCTTAGAACTGAGTGCAATGCTTAAACACAAAACAGTGCTTGGAACGGTCAGTGCAAACATGAAATGAAAGCTTTGAAACAGCGAGAGATGGGGGTCATATTTTGGCTGCAAAAAAAAGCCCTGACACAATATAGATGGGCTCTGCAAAGGAATAATGGCATCTGCCATTGACGCCAAAGGGCTGCTTGGGAGGCTAGGGCCAGATGGTAGCTTAGAACAATACCACCAGATGCTGGCTTAGAACAGCAGATAAAGAGGCTATGCTTCCCCTAAGGGTAGAGCCAACCTTAACAACCAGTTAATGAACGTGGTTCAGTAAAATCAAACAGGACAAAGAAAGTCAGGCCAGGTAAGGAAATGGGTGTTTGGGGGCCTCCAAGTCACAGAAAGCTCTAGCACAGTGCCCAGAGTATACAGCACTTGTTGACTGACTGCTGATCATAGGTGGGCCACAAGGGTCTCTGGGAAGTAATTGCCAGATGCTCTTTAGAGCACAGATGGGGAAGGATCTTCTCACTCTGGCCAGGGACCAGATCTCCAGAGAAATGCTCAAGGCTAGGGGTCTCATACTCAGAACTAATAATTAAAGAATAGCTTATAGCAGTATATAACTTTGAAGTGTACAAAGTCCCTTCATAAGCAGTGTTTCATTTACCCTCAGGATAACTCAGTGGGGGAAGCAGGAATCACAGAGAGATGAGACTCTTTGGCCCACATGACAGAGTTTATAACTGGCAGCACTGTGTCTGGAATCCGAGTGTGTGCTACACATTGAGAGTCAGCTGAGCGGACAGTGAGGCTGTCCACACCTTCCCTGCATGAGAGTTTGAATAATGGGCCCGGCCATTGATTAAACAACATAGAAGGTAGGAAGAGTAATCATCAACTTGGCTGTTCCATAAGATGGAAATTCAAGGCTTTAGTTGTTTTTGAAAAGTGAGATTTTGATGTTAGCACAATAAATGCCTCATGCTATAACTCTGTCTTCTGCCTTTGTACTTTACTCTTTCCCCTTTAGTTTCCCTGCCCAGAAAAGTTGCTTTTGAAATTTTCTAAGTTTTTCAGATAAGAAACTTTCAGGTGTCCACATTTTCTCAGAAGTTTCTGTCCACATTAAAGGCAGATCTTACACAGAGTACCAAAATCGGTGGAAAGGTTGGGAGTAATGACAGTGGCCATGACTAGTTTAGGTCAACATCCAAAGAAAAGTGACAGAACTGGGTCAAAGAGAGGAGTGCTTTGTAGGGAAAAGATCTGGGGATATGTAATGAAACCAAAGAAACTGTGCTTTCCTTCCATGAGTACCTTACCGAAGTCGCAGAAAATAAGACTGAGAAGAAGGGTGAGGGAGCCCCTTGTTCATCTCTCTCATTTCCCAAATAAAAAAATCAAGCTCAGTGGGAGAAAGGTAATTTTCTTAACATATACAGCTAATAACTAGAGGAGTCAAGACTGGACGGTCCATCCTGGGGCTCTGTATTTGCTGTAGTTACCATTATAATTGACTATCTAGCTGGATTACACTGGCCTAACCCAGAGGTTGGTAAACATCCCTGGGGCTAATCCTGCCAGCTGCACACTTTTGTAAATAAAGTTTTATTGGAACACAGCCCCGCTCATATGTTTGCCTATTGTCTGTGGCTCTCGGAGCCTACAATATTCATGACTGATCCCTTTACAGAAGAATGTGCCAGCCCTTAGCCAAGCCCTGTCACCTCTTGTCTCATTTTCTCCTATTCACCCAGCTGCGTGAAATGCTTCATGTGCAGTCACAATTGCTTTCCTTTTTTCCACTCCCCCACCTCATGCCCGGTCCCCCCACCACACCACAGCCCACAACCTACACAGCACTTCAATGCGTTGAGAAGTGGATCTGTCAGCTCCCTTTAGAGATTCATGGTTCACAGAGCACACAATGTTTGCTCCATCGTCCTCTCGGGTCACCTGGAATGTCACTGAGCTGCTCACAGTGAAGGTTTTCCCATTGGGATCTTCCTGTACTTTTTGTTCTCCTGGAGAGCAGAAACAGAGACACAGAGACACACAGACCAACAGACAGACACACACACACAGAGGAAGTGAGCCCTAACATACAGGTATCACGTGGGTCCCACTGCAGACACAGATACATGATAAGTCTCCACTTGGACAGACTTAGGCAGTTGTGAAAGGGATATGTACACACAAGGTCCCGATGATGGACATGTGTGTACACAGAGTATCTGTCCCTCCCTTCCTCCTACAACACCATGTCTCATGTACACACAGACAGACAAATACCTGCCCCCTATCTGTCTTCCCAGGACCAACTCATCCCGTAGCTCTTAAGCAGGATGTACTCACCACGGAGTTCCTGGTCACCCTTCCTCCAGGTGAGATGGGCTGCAGGTTTACTCCCAGAAGACTGGCAGTTCAGGGTGGCTGTATCCTTTTCCCGTAATGATGATTTGTAGCCAGTGATGATAGGCTTCTGTGGGATTCCTGCCATGGATATGAAATGGCCAGAATAGGAAGGAGAGGCACCGTGAGGTCGTACTTTGGCTGTCCCTGAAGAGCTGGTCTCTCTAGAGGTCAGAACAGCTGGGTTCTACTTTGGCTTAGAAATGGGTAGAAAGCTAGAGAAATCATCTTTCTTTTTGATCTCCTCTTTGAGGACCAGAAGGGAAGGCCAAAGGAAGAAGGCATGGGACTGGGGAGATGTGCCCTAGCTGAGACACAGTACCTGGCCAGACATCCCAGAGCCCGAGTGGGTAGCCACAGAAATAGTGGGATGCTCAGGGAAGCAAAGATGCACATTGAAACAGTGGAGGGAGATACAAGCGTGTAAGCAACTGGGGTCCTTGTCTTAGAAATCATAAATAAACCAAGCACACACACCTCATGCTTCCCTCACATAATTTTGGGAGATAGGTGGAATGAATGTGATCATTCCTCCTTACAGCCTGGGAAGTCCACATTTAAATAGCGGGAGAGGTCTGTTCCATATGAAGCGGTAAGTATAGCAGAAAGGATTTACATGCAGTTCTCTTTGCCTTTTCATCCTGCTTCAAGAGAAACACAGGGTGAACTTTCCCCAAATCCTTGAAGACTTGCTTGGCTTCGGGGAGCCTACCTGGGAAGTTTGTTTGCAAAGAAGCATGCTGCGGAATCACTGGGGTTTGGGAGCCTCACCGAGCACAGTGACGAGTGACTTGGCGGTCCGCACAGGCATAGTGAAGATGGAGCAGGTGTACTCGCCCTCATCCGCCAGGGCCACGTTGCTGATGCTGATGCTGAGCTCATGAGGCGTGGATCTGACCAGCTGGATCCGATTGTCTCTGAGAGCTGGGGAAAGTGGGAGCATTGGAAGCCAGGCTTGCAGTGGCATCTTTCATGCTTATCTTCCAATCCCAGACCAGGGTCTTTGGCGGAGGGGACCTAGTATGGCGGGGTGGGGTGGAGGCAAAACCTGCTCCCAAGTTTGAGCATTCGTGGGTCATTCTGTGACTTTTCTGGGCCACTGGGCATAGACGCCTAAGAGATGTTCAGAAAAGTAGGTTAGATCTTGTATGCTTCCTTGTGAGATGCGTGGGGCAACACTGACATCAGCTGCCTGTTAGGGCTTTTGGGGGGTTGAAGCCACTCCAGGACCCCATGGGACCACACCTGTGTGCACGGCCCAGGCTGGAGCTGTAGTGCTCAAGTTTCTATGGAGCCAGTTACTGGTGAGCTCATTGCATGTGGCTTCCTCACATAGGATGTCTCCACATGCCTCAAGCTCTGGCCTACAGGGGCAGTTCCCTCCAGCTCTGTAGCCCCTCTCCCCAGCCCACGGTTCCGAAGGAGAGGAACAACTCAGGGGACACTACCTCTCTTTTCCCCAAAGTACAGAGTCTGCTGGGCAGGGTTAGACCATTGCAGGGATGACTCCTCATGATCTTTCACCTGGCACTTGAGCACCACAGTGCCGCCGGCCACCACAGTCTCGTCGGATGTCCAGGGCTGGCTATCTGCAGGATCAGAGGAGGGTTAGTGTTGCAGGTACCTTCAGCACTTCTAAGCATTTCTGGGCCGAAGTGCACTTCATCTAGTTCAGACCATCCAAGGCTTTGGCGTAGGCAAGGTCTCTGTGTACCCCACAGAGGAAGGAGCAGAGGTGGGGCAGTGCCGCCGGCCACCACAGTCTCGTCGGATGTCCAGGGCTGGCTATCTGCAGGATCAGAGGAGGGTTAGTGTTGCAGGTACCTTCAGCACTTCTAAGCATTTCTGGGCCGAAGTGCACTTCATCTAGTTCAGACCATCCAAGGCTTTGGCGTAGGCAAGGTCTCTGTGTACCCCACAGAGGAAGGAGCAGAGGTGGGGGGG